AGGCTCCATATTGTTCCTTTCTTCTTTGACTTTTTTCCTGCACTACTTTGACTTTCTTTCTGATTTAGTATTAGCAGTGCTAAGACAGTCAATCAGCATATAATAGAAACGCTACTACCTTATTACTCTTTAATTTATCCTGTTGGAATTAGAACTGTGTACTGTACTCTTCCCTGATTTTTTTCCTATGCTTGGCATGCCTTCAGTTTTTTAAGTGCAAGAAGAACGCACTTTTTCCATGTGTTTTACTTTTAATTAAGACATATGCAGATTTGCGATTTATAGAGCATTTAAGAAAATGAACAGTATTTCTAGGTCACAAGTAGTGCATATGATAAAATATTCTGATCAATAAATGACCTTCTTTAAAATGGAAATATCTACTTTGAGTAATATGTGGCCTTTAGGGTTGAGGTTTACTGTACCCAATAAACCAGATTTGAACCATGTCAGAAGCAGCTGTAATTAAAACACATCCATCATATTCTTATCAAACACTACTAAATTTGAGATTCTTGTCCACTTAGAAATTAACTAATCATATTGTATTGTTTTAAAATGCTATCTTTGTCTGAAAAGTCACCTTTAAAATGACAGTTTGTGGTATTGAAATACTTACTTGGACAGAAATTTAATACAATAGGGATTTTCAGCCTCTCTGTTTTGTATTCCCACCTCACTTTAATGTCTCACTAAACCTCTCCAAAGGGACTTTGTCATGAATGCAAGTAATTGCAATGGAAACAAATTTCAAATGCTTACTGGGATACAATATAGTTCATATATTCTGAATTGAAGGTACAAAATTATAAAGAGTTTCAGAACAGCCTCTTGATTAAGAACAAATGTTACCTTCAAAAATATTTTTTTATTAAAGAAGGTTTGGTTATCCTAGATAGTAATGTTTGTATCCACTCAGGGTGTTTTATTCATTCATTTCTTACAGTGTATTCTTACAACATTCTTCCTCTTAGAGGAGCCCAGTCCAGTACTTTAAACAATAAATACAAAAGTTGTTATTTTTAAATATATTTAACAAACAGTATAGCTCCTGTGCTTTGATCGCTGCTTGAGAGTCCACCAATGAGAATGAATGTGCCTTAATTCCATGTATATAACTGTTGGGATCCTCCTTGTGGATAAGAGTTTTCTAATCTTAAGTAGTTCTGAAGATTTTATTTTATAATCTGTTCTCTCTGTTGCAACTATTTTTTCTCCTCTGGAGTTGCTTTAACAATCAGAGTTTGGGTGAAATCACATAAAAATGGTGGTTGTAAGTTCAGTTCTGATACTGAAATCAAATGTTTAGGTTGAACATGTCATCAAAGGTAACCTAAGCCTCAATTATAAGGTACCTGGTGCTTTAATGAAACAACAGAACAGATCTGTCAGGCCTGAAATTTGTCCAACTTTTCATTAGATGTTTGAGAAGAGGCCTGGTCAGTCTCATTAGATCTCACTAATAAATATGAGGTTGGTGCAAATTTAGTACTGTCACACTTCCCTCCTTGCAATGTAGGTGGAAAACTGTTAATTGAAGGAACAAAAATGAAGGAATAACTATTGATAAATAGTATTTATTCAAAGAAAGGTTGAGGCTACAACACAAGAATTCCAACAGGTATCTCACTTTGAAATCTTATACTGTACTTTTATTTAGACAATTTATGGTTGCAAAACTCTTGCCCATTTCTTCTACTTTTTTTATGTGAAGGTCTGGAGGCTTGCCTCTTTTGTGAAAGCCAGGCAGTCTGCATCTGTTCATAGCTTTGGAATATTGGTGCATTATTATGAGCACATTTACTCCCATTGGTATTGTTCATAGTAACTAAAGGTTAAATTGGTCTGCCTTGTTCTGTTTTTTGTTTTTTGAGTTTTTTGTCCCTTTTGATTTTGGCTTATATGCTTTTTTTTTAATGGAAACTCATAGGTTGTAAAATATAGCTGTTTGTATGTTCTCAGCTATATTTATTATGCACAGGATGGTTAAAAAAAGATTCTGACTTTTTCAGCATGTGAATAGTAAGAGCTGTGAAAGAGAGAGAGAGAGACAAAGGCCTGCCTAAATGCTTTTAATTTTAAAAAATATTAGATTTTTTTCCTGTCTGCTAAGTATTTATACACAGCAATTCACATAATTATGTGACCTAGAAATACTGTTAATAAGTATTAACAAGCTTGAAACTGAAAACTGTTGAACTTCTTCCGCAACAGTTTCATCCAGCTTTTTCTCTCTCCGTTTCTGTCCGACAGGCCTAGATGCCTTTTCTGACTCTAATACTGTCTCCTGCATGACGGGCGTGCACCATCTTCAAGCTCTAACTTCTCTCCACTACTGACTGCTGTGTATTTAGCAATCCCTTAAGATCTTTGTCACAGCTATACTTCCTGTAAAAATGACCACTTCTTCAGTGCTGGTGTCTCTTTCATTTGGGATGGGATCCTCTTTCTCTTGTATATGTGTAGCTTTGCCAGATATGTAGTCTTACAGAATGTAGTCTTAATAACCATTTGCTGTGTAACAGATGAGTTAACAAAGCTAAGAATGAAATTCATAAGTAGATGTTTCACTACAAAAGATAGTAAAGATAGTTTAAAGTATTATACAAGATATTAAAACGGCATGAAGGTTACTTTGACAGAGTAAATAGTTAAAAAAAAAACCAAAAAGTAAGGCACATGCTTACATTGTATTTACAGACTTATAACAGGGTTTAACATCAATATGGATGTCTTGATTTATGCTTATTCAAAAGTAGCAGTGCTGTTTAGTATTCATGTGAAAATGCAGTTACGCTTTTCCCTACTAATCTTGGTGATGGGTGACTTTGTGTATTTGTCTAATAAACTCAGTCCAACTGATGTCTGTCTCTGTCTTCTGCGTAGTACTTTCTGACCTTTTCCGTATGAAAGAATTTGTTTTCCAAAACAGCAAGGCATTAGTAACTTGAAATAAAGCATAAATAAGTTACTTAGAGAATAAAGTTAACAAATATTTCACTATGTAAATTTGTGTTCTGGAAAATGGAACTAAAATATTACCAAATATACTGATGTAAAATTATGGACTTGCATCTTAACTTTATAGAATACTGTTAAGGTTCAAGTGCAAGAACTTAAAATGTTTTGTGCTATCATATGCTTCTGTTCTTAATACATGCTTGCTACGTATGAGCCAAATGAGATTGAGCCTCAATAAAATCTTGCTCACTCAGCTGTTACTATAATGCTGCTGCTTGATGGTGGGCCTTTATTGTATTATTACTGCATCATGGTTTGCATGGACTGAAGTGGTGGGGTAGGCGCCTATGCTGCTAATAGAAATGTTGAATATTCTGCAAGGAACTGCATTTACCCATACTGTTTTGATACACATTTGTTTAATTTCAGTGGAAATGAGCAGTTAAGTATTTAGATAATGAAATCATTTTTTCTTATTAAAACCATCCACCAAAACTTTAGTTTCATTGAAATGTACGAAAATTGTACTTCTTGGTTAATTTGTCATCAGGGTGAACTGTTTAATGTGATGCAATCTTAGTAGATAATACTCTGTGTGCTTATTTTTAGTCTGTTCATCTCAAAGCCATTATCATGGAATCACAGAATGTAAGGGTTGGAAGTGATCTTAGAGATTATCCAGTCTATCTGCTAAGGAGAATAAGTAGTGATTTTTTGTTAAATTGTGTTTGAAATTGAGATATTTGCTTCTAACTTTAATAACTACAGAACATAACCAATTGGTGTTTAGTTGTGATTGCTCAACTCTGACAAAGGATGAATTATTTTGTGGTTTTAAATGTGCTCATTTTTTTCAGGATGGCACTGGATCATTAAAACGCAGTGGTTCCTTTAGCAAACTTCGTGCTTCAATTAGACGCAGCAGTGAGAAGCTGGTTAGAAAACTGAAGGGAGGAAGTTCACGAGAAAGTCCTGGGTAATTATTTCTAGATGTGTTGCAACACACGGGAATTAAGTTATGCCTAAGCCTATCTTGCTATGTAATGGTTTTATCTGCTACGTGAATACAAAAGAGTTTAATCCAGAAGCAGTTCTCACAAAAATGCAGTACAGAGGATGTTGTTGAAAGTTGGTCTTAAACAGCCGTGAAAAGCTTATCTTTGCTCTTAATTTGATTGTAAACAGTATTATGGCTTTGTAAAAATTTTGATATTATATAAATGACTAGTTCAAGAATTGACTATTCTGTCCTCCCACATAGAATGACTAATGCACTTGGCTGGAATTTCAGCAGGTTCCCTTTAATAACAAAATATGAGCCTATTAATTTATTCTGAAAAATGCATTAAGGTTTAATTGGTATATGAAAACAGTTGAAACATGTATATATAATATATAATCATACTAGGTTACTGAAACTGTACAGATCTATTTAACTGGGTACTTGTTTACATTTTTTCATTAAATGTGTAAACATGTAACATTTTTATTAATTCTCACATATTAATAAAAGCCATTTTACCTGCTCTGTCTAGAATTCCTGTGAATAAACTATTGTTATATTAAAATGGACTGTAATTCTTTATCCAGTCCTTGTGATGCATAAAAGATATGCTTGGTACCAATACCATCAGGGCTTCTTTTGAAATCTCTGCTCATTCTCCCTAATGGCACATTCCTTTTTGGAAATATTAAAACCAGTTTTTATTTCTACCTATGGCCCTTCAAAAAAATAGGTAACATCAATAAAGGAAAGCAGAGCTTTTCTTTTATCAAGGAAAGAATCTAGATCAGATGTGATTCTTTTTTTTTGCTATACTTAGACCTAGTTGGCTCTGCCTGTGATTATCCTTTGGCTTTGCTAATAATCATTGTGGCCTTCATCCCATAGTATTTTCCATTTCTGTCACTTTCCTCTCTAGTTTGGAACATTTTAGTATTTAGATTTTTGATAAGTTGATTAAACTTTTCTTTGGATAATTTTACTTTGAATTTCTAGACTTTCAGTCAATAAACAATATCTAAGTATTTCCAAAGCCACCTTACTTCTTCCCTTAAAATACATTTAAATGTGTTTTTTGTTTCTTTTAGGTGTATTTTTTCTTTCTAAAAACAGCTTTTGTTTGTCTTTGAGTAAAAGGTTTCTTAAAAACAACTTAAATATTTCTATACATTTTTAAGGTGTTTTATATTGCTTTAAAATTTGTG